CTGCACGTGGCGGGGCCCTATCCCCTCGGTCCCCCAACCCCTCATGCGCTCCACACCCACCAAGTTGACAGCTCACGCTGCCCGGCGCTTGGCTTTAATTGTGGTGTGCCGAACGTGGCGGGGCCCTATCCCTTCAATCCCCCAACCCCTCATGCGCTCCACACCCACCGAGTTGACAGCTTGCGCTGTTTGCCGCTTGGCTCTAATCGTGGTGTGCCGCGCGTGAAAGGCACCTCCTGTCCGCCCCGCTCCCACTGACAGCGCACCACCACGGTGGTCTGCTGCCAGCAGGGGCGCGACCCTCTCAGACCTCAGGCGCCGGCACTTGCCCCTTCACAAACACGCTTGATCCGACGGTCAAGCTGGATCTCACATCACAAGCAGTTTTGCGCCTTTCTGCTCTTCAGACTGCACACCTCACAACTAGTTCTACCCTCAAATATTGCCCCTCGTCTTGGCAGATCTAGGAGCCGACAGAGGGCCAGCGAGCAGGAGCACCGGCGAGAACGCGCGCAACAAGACTCGCAGCATCAGGCGAGGCCAGCGTGTTGCCTGATGGTGCAAGGCGTGCTCTTGAGACGGATGGGTTCAGGACGGTTTCTGGGGTTCCAGCCTCTGCGGCCTTCCATCCACGCGCGATGCGCTCCCAACTTTGGTCGCCCATGTTTGTGCCGGAGTGCATGCGCGCCAGGACCGCCAGCACGGAGGGTGTTGCTTTGGGCGCATGCCTGTGGCTCTTGGGCTGCGTGAGCGCAGTCCGCCAAGTGCTGGCTGGCAGCCAACCTAGCAACTGTCGCTTGCTTGCACCAGTCCCTGCCGATTCAGAGCCGTGGAAGCACTGACAGCGCTGGAGGGCGATGCAAGATCGTGGTTCTGCAGCTGATGCATCGGGTAAGGCCTGCCTTTTGCCTCGCTTGTGGACATGCCTGTGAAGCTCTGAATTGGCATGCTCTTCCGCGCCCAGCTTGTTGCCGGTATGTTATCTGTTGGCTGCGCTGATAGTCCCCTGTTGCGTCCAAATCACACTCCTGCAGGGCTGCACAGCTTGAGGCCGAGCGCCTTGCCCCACAAAAGTGTTTCAGGCGGTGGCTTGCAGGCAGCTGTGACCAGAGTGGTCCCATGTAATCGGCTGTTTTCCGCAACGTTCACACCGCTGCTCTGCGGCAGCCGCGCTGGAGGATGCTGATCAAACCCGCTAGGTTGAATCTGCTGATCAGCGCAACCGCCGCAAACAGGGCTTAGCAAACGACGTGCGATTGGCAGTCAGTCTTGAGTGCAGGGTCTGAAGCATGTGCTTCTTCGCAAGGGCTCCTCAAAATGCTTCACCACACAGAACGTCCGTGTTCACAGCCGCGACGTTGTTGCCCGCGCCCGCGCCCCCCGCTTGAATGGAACCCTGCACCGCCGCTGATGTCGTGATGGACGGCAGCTGCGTGATGTGGCACGAGGTCGTTTACGACAGGAGTGCATCACTCGTCGGTGTGCCGCTGAGGACAGCACAATGCAACAAACCGCACATGTGCAGCGGCACCAGCGTCACTCCACTGGCACTGCGTCACGCAGGTGCAGGCACCCACAGGTGTCCTACGGTATTCCATCAGGCAAGGAAAGCGGGTGGTGAACATATGCAGTATGATTGTCTCATCTTTGATCTAGATCACGCAAAATGCCGCGCAAGAAGGCCGTGCCACAAAAGAGGGGCAGGTCCCCGGAAGAGGATGTTGAGCGCGAACATTATGACGCGGAGGTGGCAGCAGAAGAATCGGATGCGGCAAAATTACAGCGGCAGGTGCGGCGTCGCCCAAAGCGTGTAGGAGAGCCGCGGCCCGCCGAGCACGTAGCCCTTGCAGCAGCAGCCGACGCAGATCTCCTGGGATTTGCGGACCTCCTGTTCTGCGCGCCGCTGCCAAGCGGCGCGGCAGCAGCGAATGTCGACGCCGGCGGCGCCGCTGGCCATTTGGATGGAGCGGTGGAGGCAACCCTCAGCGCCGCGTTCGGGCGCCCCGGGCGGCTGCTGCTCTCGTGGGACCCAGGCAGCGGTGGCCCAGATGTGCCTGTGAGCTGGGAAGGGCGGGGCCCACGCTGCAGTGACGAGTGCAGCAGTCAAGAGCGCCACTGGGTTCGGCCCTGAACCCCCTACATGCTCGACGAGTCGCCTGCAACGTAATTGAGGCGCCTGCGTCTTGGATACTGCAAGCAGTGCAGCTTGGGTCCAAACAGTACCATGCCTGACCGAAATGATCCGAACACGCATGCAGCACTATTCAGTGATGGTTGTAGTCCCAGCAGCCACAGTGGCAACCAATTTTTCAAGTATGACTGCCTGTGATGCCTGCCGCCCTCCTCCGCCCGTCCTTTTCAAGGTCTGTGTCGCGGCGCCCTCCGAGGCCGCCGCCGCGTCACTGCTGCAGCTGCTGCAGGCCGGCCGCCTCGCTGCTAGCCTGCGCCCGGTCCCCTGGCCCAGCAGTCAAGGGGGCAGCGGTGAGTGCCACGGCGGCGGTGCGCCGCCGGCCGCCGAGGTTTTTGTCTCAGTGAACGTGCCAGAGGCCGCGCTAGCACAGGCGTGCGACGTGGTGTTGCCACCTGCTTGGCGGCGTGGAGGGTTGGATGGCGGCGCTGCCGGTCAGCAGCAGCAGCAGCAGCAGCAGCAGCAGCAGCAGCAGCAGCAGCAGCAGCAGCAGCAGCAGCAGGGCGACGGCTCTCAAGACGAGGAGGGCGGCGCGGACGAAGGGGACGGCGGGGACGAGGGCGCCGCGCTGCCAGACCCTGCGGCCGCGCTGCCGCCCTCGCGGCTGGTCTCCCACCTCGCAGGCGCCCTCTGCCCGCAGCTGCTGCAGCGGCACGCACACTCGGGCCATGCCCGACCTGCAGAGGAGGGGGTGAATGGACTCAGCTGCAGAGACGGGTTTGCCGCCGCGCAAGAGGGCCTGCAGCTGTGGCGGCTGCGGCTGGGCCTGGCGCGCGGCGCGTTCCACCAGCAGGCGGCGGGCCCGCAGGACCCCGCGCGGCGGCCGTGGCAGCAGGCGCTGCTGGCGATGGCGGCTTGGCTGGCGCCGCACTGGCAGGTGGGCGCGGCGCTGGGCAACGAGGGGGGCGGCGACGGCGACGGCGGGTTTGACGGCGGCGCGGACGCCGGCACGGGAAACGGCTTGCACGGTGGGCCGTCGACGGCGCCCGGCACCCTGTCGCCGCCTCGGCCCAACAAGAGGCGGCGCTCTGAGCCGCCGGCGGGGCAGCAGCAGCAGCAGCGCCGCGAGGGCGCTGCTGAGTTTGACGCGAGCGTGCTGTACGCGTGGGCCAAGCCGTCGGGCCTGGAGCCGCGACTCCCTGATTCCGAGGTATCCAGCGCACTGCTGCCCACGCTGCGGCCGTATCAGGTGCGATGTGAGCCATGGGGCTCACGTGGGGGTATAGCTGGAACTGCAGCCCCCAGCTTCGTGGCCGCCGCGAGGGGTGCACGCGCACTGCCAGCGCCACAGCACTTTCATGGGTGCAAATCGGTGGCATAGGGAAAGCGGCTCTTCTGGCCTCCATGTCATGCAAGGAAGGGGAGGGAGCGCCTGACCCAGCACTGAGTGATGTGAACACCAGCCACGGCCCCTCGGCGCCCACGCAACGTCACCTGCCCACCCCACCCGATCAGGCGCGCGCGGTCCGGTGGATGCTGGAGCGGGAGCGCGCCCCGCAGCACGCAGCAGGCCTGGTCGGCAGCTGCCGCGAAGCTGCTGAAGACCGCGGCAGCGATGGCGATGACGACGGCAGCAGCAGCAGCAGCAGCAGCGGCCACAGCAGTGGGGCCGGGCGGAGGGGGCGGGCGCGCGAGCTTCATCCGTTGTGGCGGCGGGCTCGGGCGCTGCCGGGCGGCTTTGCGCGCAGCTTCTTCCTCAACCCCTACAGCGGCTTGCTGAGCGACACGCTCTTTGAAGCCCCACCTCCAGTCAGAGGTGAGGCGATTGATCATGGAGGGGCTGTTCTTTGCTGAGGACACTCTTGGCACGGCCCCCAGGCCTCCCGGGCTGATACCGCCCATCACAGCGCCACACTCGAGAGTGCCTCCCCGACGTGCTCAAACGGATCAGGATTGCGCCTGTGAGCAAAAAAACGGCACATGCTTGCGCGCGCACGCGCACACGCACACATCCAGGGACACATGTGCACAATCGCACACACATTGACGCCCACCCAAGCATTTGCCCGTCCAACCGCTGCACCCGTCCGACCGCTCCAGGTG